GTCTCTTTCCCTCTGCCATTAAGACTGGTGACCTATTTACAAGACAGAAACAGACTCAAAGACTTAGAAAACAAACTCACGGTAACCGAAGGGGAAGGGTTGGTGGGCAGGACATGGAGGGAGAGACTGAGAGCTTGGGGCTGACGTGTATGTGCTGCCATATTTAAACTAGATACCCAGGGCTCCCTGGCGGCTCAGTGGTAAAGAATCTGCCTGCCAGTGCAGGAGACACGGGTTCGGTCTCCGGTCGGGAGAGGTCCCACATGCCAAGAAGCAGCTCAGCCCGAGCCCCGCAGCTCCTGAGCCTGCGCTCGGGGCCCACACATCACAGCCACGGAGCCCACACACCCTGGAGCCCAGGCTTCCCGACAAGATGAGGTGCTGCGATGAGACGTCCTCCCGCACCCGAGAGGGGCCTCCGCTCGCGGGCACTGGAGAAAGGACCATGCATCAGCAGAGACCCAGCACAGCCAGAAACAAATAGATGAACGAATGAAATTATGTTTAAGTAGATAACCGACAAGGACCTACTGTATAGCACAGGGAATTCTGTAATAACCTAGATGGGGAAAGAATTCGAAAAAGAAGAGAAAAAAGAGGTCATTTATCTGACCTCACAAGGTGAGTGAGGACACAGGTCAGACCTGAAGCCAGTGCCAAACCGCAAACCCTCCTTTGGGGCTGACCTTGTGAAAGCGCTTTGAAGACTACAAAACCTTAAGGAATGTCAAGTGATGAAATCAGCACGACGACCAGCCGAGGAAGTTGGTTAAAGGCCTCGGCTTTGTCAAACCTGGTTCCAAATGCCAGCTCTGCCATTTACGAGCTGGGTAACTCTGGAGACATTCTTTAATCTCTTTGAACTCCTGTTTCCTTAGTTGTAATGAAGATAATATTATGCATATTCTATTTTCCTGATGAGTAAATGAGATAATAAATGGAAAGGTCTTAGCATGATGCCAGTCTCATAGTAAGTGCTGCTAAGTTATTTGGAGGGAATATAATGCCAAAGAATTTGGTTTGAAATAACAACAATAAAGAAGCTACTCCTGGGCCAGGACAGGGCCAGGGTTGAGTGCAGAGCAAGGTTTCTCCACTGCAGCACTTTTAAGCTTTGGAGACAGCTGACTTCTTACTGTAGGGGAAGGGGCTGTCCTGCACACGGCAGAATGTTTAGGAGAGACGCTGAAGTCTTGTCATATGACTGCAACATCCGGGCTCTTTTGTTGTTCAGTGCCCCCGTCACATCCGACTCTTTGTGACCCCAAGGACGGCAGCGCGCCAGGCTTGCCTGTCCTTCACTATCTCCCAGAGTCTGCTCAGACTCATGTCCATCGAGTCGGTGATGCCATCCAACCATCTCACCCTCTGTTGTCCCCTTCTCTTCCTGCCTTCAATCTTTCCCAGCGTCAGGGGTTTTTTGTAATGAGTCAGCTCTCTGCACCAGATGGCCAAGGTAATGGAGCTTCAGCTTCAGCATCAGCTGAATAATCAGGGTTCTAACCCTTGGCATTATTGGTATTTGAGGAAGGATGGTTCTTTATTATGGAAAGCTGTTCTGTGCACTGTAGGATGTATTTTACTTTATTTTAGTGTGTTGCCCAGCTTGTGGGATCTTAGTTCCCTGACCAGGGATTGAAACCAAGCCCTCAGCAGGGAAAGCACAGAGTCCTAATTCTGGACTGTTAAGGAATTCCTCACGACAGGATGTTTAGCAGCATCCAGGGCTGCTACCCCTAAGATGCTCAAATATGTTTCCAGACATTTCCAAATGTTCCCCGGGGGCAAAATCAACCCCCATTGAGAACCCATGTCCTCGTAACTGTGTTTAGAGTTTTTCAATGAATTCTTCGTATTAAAAAACATAAACATAAAAGAAGGTTAACCACTTTGAGAGAATGGACTCTGAGCTTCCCTATTCTTATATTTTATTGATGTTACCTACTTAGTGTCTGTGTGACCTGCTGGAATAAATGCTCCATGAAGTCACTGTGTGTGTCTTGTGTCCTGCTGTGTCTCCAGGGCACACATCACCTGCAACATAATAGACGCACAATAAAAGTATCATTGAATCAATAAATGATAGTCATTTTTTTCCTGTGTCCTTATCTAATAACTAACAGGCACAGGTTCCTGCAGGATCAATAGGGTGGACTAGGCTTATGGAAAGTATCTCTTTTTTTCCTTCTTTGCCCCAACTCTAAAATAAAAAGATTCCCTGAAGAGAATCTATTCTTAGCCAACCAACAAGGCTGAAACTGGGCTTTGCAGGTAGCTCAGTGGTAAAGAATCCTCCTGCCACTGCAGGAGTCGTGGGTTTGATTCCTGGGTGAGGAAGATCCCCTGGAGGAAGAAATGGCAACGCACTCTAGTATCCTTGCCTGGAGAATCCCATGGACAGAGGAGGCTGGTGGGCTACAGTACATGGGGTCACAAAGAGTCGGACACGACTTAGGACGAGGTCTTCACCAGAGCGTCAGTCCTCGGGTAGGGGTATGGAAAAGACTGAATGGGGCCCCAGTGTTTAGGCTCAGCCACAGGCATCAACAAATCATCATGAGGAGACGCATCACATCAAGCTGATGGAAAAGCAAGACCCAGGGACTCCCCTGGGGGTCCAGGGGCTAAGACTCCTCACTGTCAATGCAGAGGCCGGTTCCATCCCAGGTCGGGGAGCCGGGTCCTCTATGCTGCGACTGAAGTTCCCACGTGGCACAACCAGAAAGATCCCGCATGCCACAGCTAAGGCCTGGCACAGCCAAATAAGGAATTGTTTTATTTAAAAAAGAAAGAAAGAAAAGCAAGATCCAGAGTAGCTTGAGAACTCCCCGGGCCGGTGAGGACTGGTCCGAGGCCGTGCAGACGGGCAGAAAGAGGACCAAAGCCCTAACAGACCCGACTCTGTCTGAGGCTGTGGCGGCCCCCAGGACCACAGCGGGGGGCGGCGCTGTTTTTGTGTCTGGGTCCTTCTGTCCTTGTTATTTCTCACACGCAGGGGCTGAGTGAACCTGAAAGAAGGGTGCACCCTCTCCTGTGCTCCAGGACCATGCTCTCCATTGATGATCTTGTGACTCTGCCTGCACACACAGGACCAACAACAACCATTCGGTCTCACCCCAGCCTCTTCTTGGATGCCACTCAAGATCCACAGTCTTTTCTCACCATCCTGGCAATTGTGAAGAGCATTCCTCGTGTGTGGAGTCTTAGCAGTGGAATGGGCTCCCTCGAGCCTCGCCGGCACCCTCAGAGCCACGCTCTGGCTCCCCTGCACACCGCAGCCGGAGCCCATCTGTGTCTGTGGCTCCCTGGGCCTCACCTCGGTTCGCGCTCCCCACGTGAGTCTGTGGCTTTGCTGCCGAGGGTGAACCTCACTTCTACTTCCCTTGCCCAGAAACTCTGACGCTCACGCTTGTCACCGCCTACATTCCTCCCTTCAGTCTCTGTCCTTGGACAATACCACTCTTCTTTCCCCCACACTGAAGATGACCTCTGTAGGCTTTCCCAACAGCTGACAGTGAAGAAAGAGTTGTCTTGATAACCCAACAGAAAATGGGCGAAGGCTTGAACATTCTCAAAGGAGAATATCCAAATGGCCAAGAAACATGAAAATGGGCTGTTTCACTGGCCTCTGGACTTCCCTGGTGGCTCACCTGGTGAAGAACCTGCCTGCAATGCAGGAGACCTGGGTTCGATCCCTGGGTTGAGAAGATCCCCTGGAGAAGGGAAAGGCTACCCACTCCAGTAGCCTGGCCTGGAGAACCCCATGGACTGTATAGCCCGTAGGGTTGCAGAGAGTTGGACATGACTGAGTGACTTTCCCTTTCACTGGCCTCCAGAAAAATGCAAATTAAAACCACAATATACTCACCATCACCATGGCTCAGGATGGAAGACACAAGAATTGGTCTTAATGTTCATGGTCTGCAACTGGCAACAGAATTTAGTACAGGCACTTTGGAAAACTGTACAGCAATATCTACTAATTAACAAAGTATTAAATTCCCTACAGTGAGTGCTCTGCGCTCGTTCAGTCGTGTCCGACTCTGTGAACCCATGGACTGAAGCCTGCCAAACTCCTCTGCCCATGGAACTTTCCAGGCAAGAATATTGGAGTGGGGTGCCGTTTCCTTCTCCAGGGGATCTTCCTGACCCAGGATCGAATCTGTGTCTCTTGTGTCTCCTACGCTGACGGGTGGATTCCCTTACCACTAGCACCACTTGGGAAGCCCCATGAGCACTCATGCCCACTCACAGAATTTGCAATGCTGTTCACAGCTGCCTCAAACTGACACTACCCAGATGCTCATCAACCACAGCACAGAAAAATAAATGGCATTATATTCTCACAGTGGAATACTACATAGCCCTAGGAATGAATCAAGTATGACCTTAGTGATGAATGAGTGAATCTCACAATGTGTTGAGCGAGAGAACCTTGACACAAAAACAGAACAGTTATATGACACCCTTTCAGTAAAGCCCTGGAACAGACACACCCACGCTATCGGAAGCGGTAGCAGGGCCTCCCTGGCGTCCAGTGGTGGTGTGAACCGCTGCAGGGGACAAGCGAAGATCCCGCGTACCTCGGGGCTGTCCGCCACACACTGGGCCCACGCCCAGAGCCCGAGCGTCTCAGCGAGGGAAGCCGCACCCCAAGACGAGGGATGTCGCCTGCTCCCTGCAGCTGAGCGGAAGCCACAAGTCCATAAACAATCAACTGTTGCTTGAAAAGCGTCGTGACTCTTAGTGATGGGAAGACAGCATGTGGGGTGGCTTTTCTAAAAAAACAAATTTATTTTAATTGAATTATAGTTGATTTACAATATAATGTTAATTTCTGCTGGACAGCAAAGTGAGTCACATGTATATATATATATGTGTGTGTAAAATATAAAAATCCAGTACTCTTGCCTGAAAAATCCTATGCATGAAGGATAGGTAGGCTACAGTCTATGGGGTCGCAAAGAGTTGGACAGGACTGAGCAACTTCACTTTCACTTTCATACACACACACACACACACACACATTCTTTTTTATGTTCTTTTCCATTTTGGTTTATCCCAGGACATTGAATATAGTTCCCTGTGCTATGCAGTAGGACATTTTTGTCCACTCTGGCTGGATATTCCTTGATTTGGGTGCTGGTCATCCAGGAATGGGGTTTCCTAGGTGGTGCAAGTGGTAAAGAATCCACCTGCAATGCAGGAGACACAAGAGACACAGGTTCGATCCCTGCCTCAGGGAGATCCCCTGAAGAGGAAATGGCAACCCACTCCAGTATTCTTGCCTGTAAAATTCCATGGACAGAAGAGCCTGGCGGACTACAGTCCATGGGTCTGCAAAGAGTCAGACACAACTGCGCACACACAAACGGGCTTCCATGAGCTATAGGTATGATCATTTTGTAAAAATTCATTGAATGTACAGTTATGGTCAATGCACTTGTCTGTATCTGTATTCTCCCTTACCAGGAGTCAGGTTATCTGGAAGCAAATTCCAAGAGGGAGGCTTATTGCAACAAGTTTATTGGGGGGAGCTCCCAGGAACAACACCTATGAGAGTCAAGCTGACTGAGCAGAGTGCAGGTGACTGGAGCCATCCTGGGAAAGGACGCGGGGAGCTCCGAGATGAACGTCAGATGGTCCTTCAGAGACATCCCAGCGGCGCTGGGGAAGCAGGCTTCATACACTCAACCACACATTCCTTTTCGACTAGAGTCTCTTCAAGTCTCTGTGAATTTTCTCTTCAGTAGCTTAGTCTTTTCTTTAATGCTCTCTCTCTCCTTCTCCCTTTTAAATTGTTTTCTTTGGCAAGCACATTTAAGTTCTGCTGTCTTAGCAAATTTCAACTATACAATGCAGTGTTACCAATTGCATTCACCAGGCTGGGAATCACTTTTCCACTCTCCGTTTCTATATAGTCAACTTTCCTTTTTTTAGATTCCGCATATAAGTCACACCATGCAGTATTCGTCTCTGGCCTATTTCAGGGGGCATCATGCCCTCCAGGTTCAGCTGTCTGTCACAAGCTGCCTCCTCTTTTAAGGTGGAGTGATACTCCATCGTCACAGACATACATCACCTCGTTTGATCCATTTACCTCTTGACAGACACTGAGGCCCTTCCCATACCCTGACTGCTGTGAATGATGCCGGGCAGCGCCTGGGGCAGAGGGCTCGGCCCGGAAAGCTCAGAGCTCCTGCCCCCAGCCCCCAGCGGCTCAGTCTGCAAGGCGTCCACAGCAACCTCTCCATGTTCGCATTAAAACCTGAAAAAGAGGTTGCCTTGAACTGTGAGCTAAGTCAGAGGAAACATTCGAGGAAAAAACAAGCAAATGAACAAAATGGGACGGCCAACACGTACGGTGACCGCGGACTGCACTGCAGTGGTGATTTCGGCTGTTTCAGGACCCTGGGCTCTGAACAGGGTGAGCTACGAGGCGTGTCAGCAGCTCCTTCCCAGGATGTCCAGGCTTGCGTGTGTATTCACATGCTGTTGCTGTGCATTCACATGCTGGCCCAGGTTCCTGATCCCAGCAGGAGAGGATGCCCTGATTAACAGCCGTGTGGGATCTCGCGCTCAGAACGTGCGGCTCCACCAAGCGGCCGCGCTTCCGCCGTCTCGGCCCGGGCGCTCCCGAGGGCGGCGCTTGGAGGCAACGTTCCGGCTGCTCAGGCCGCGGCCCCGCAGGGAGCCCTCTGGCTCTGCGTCAGAGCTCAGGCTGAAGTCCTCCGCGGGGCGCCGAGGGCCTGGGGTTGAAGAGCTCTCTCTGGTAGGTGGTAGGCGCTGTCTCTCCAGCGTGGCCAGGGACCCGTGGTGAAGTCGCATTCTGAGTCCCGCGCTCCGCCCTGCGCCTTCTTTCGGGGGAAGCCCACAGTCACCCAGGCAGCCTCCCAGACATTTATGCGTTCCTTTTTCTCCCAGGGAAGGGCTCTCAGGAGGCAAAGAGACGTCGGCTGATTTTTAGGCACCACGCGCTCCTCCACCAAGTGAAGAGGACCAGCCCAGGGTGGCGGAAGATTCCAAGTTTTATCATAAATCGTGGTGCTGGGACTTCCCTGGAGGTCCACGACCTGAGACTTCACGCGCCCAATGCAGGGGGCATGGGAAAAGAAGGGCAAAAGAGAGAAAGAAAGGAAGGTACTTTCCAACAAGAGGGCTGAAACGGGAGCCAACGGGGGCAGAATCCGCAGCTTGGCCAGGCTGGGAGGGAGGGGAGTCTGTCTCCAGCATCCTCTTTCCCGGTCCTTGCACAGGAGTCCTCACTTTGCTTCCTGTTCCCCAATTTCCCATTTAAACCCAAGGTACCCATAGCCCTTATGCTTCTGCCAATGGTTTTTTGGGGTAAGTTAACTTCATTTGAGCGGTTCTAGAGGCTTATAGGAATTCCAAGCCTTGGGGGCTTTCCAGGTCTCTAATGGACTATTATATACTAGATTCTAAAGGGATAGAACAATGCACATTGTGAAAATGGATTGTCAAGGGTTTCCTGGTTCGCGGAGTTCATGGTTTAACCTATTACCAGCTAGCTCTGGCATCCGGACAGCTTAACATAACATGCATTTTATCCAACAACGCTGTTTTATGTGTCCATACTATCAGTGGACTTGACTGCAGGCAATTTATATGAGGTGCTGTCATAATGGATATAGGGGGTTTTGTCTCCCAGAATGACTCTTCTCTTTGGGGAAATGCTGCTTCAAATGGCTAGGACTGTTGATTAATGGTGGTCCTGTATCTGCAGCACAAGAAGGGCATGATGGCCCAAGGTGAACCGGTGATAGCAGTGTATCCGTTTGTTCATGAAGGTTGGTCCAGGGGTAGTCAGGTGACACCTTGAAATTCTGGGGCAGGATATTTCATCCTGGAGCAGCTGGAAACATCTTTTTCTCTGTCTTGCAATCTGTACGGTCTGACTCTTGACACCGCATGGACTGCTGCCTGGCGGGCTCCTCTGTCCGTGGGATTTCCCAGGCAAGAATACTGGAGTTGGTCACCATTTCCTTCTCCAGGGGATCTTCCCAACCCAGGGATCAAACTCGGGTCTCCTGCACTGCAGGCAGTCTCTACCACTGAGCCAGCTGGGAAGCCGCTACCACGTATGCTTGTGCAAATAAAGCCCTCGGAAGAGAAACAGAAAGTAGAGAAAAGTATCAGCTACACAGAGAGAGAGACCCCCTGCGGCCTTCAAGGCTCTTCCCTTGCACAGAGATGAGCAGACACCCAGTCCGCCCAAGGCAGCCCAGTTTACGTTGTTGCTCCGGCTTAGCCACTGACGTCTCCCTCTTTCATTCTCGAAGGGTTCCAGGTGGGAGACAATTTACATAATCACTGCTCCTATTGCAGTGTGGTTAAATAAAGTGATAAAGTCCTTTCCCCTCTTTAGTTAGTTCAAACTGGTTTTCTGTCATTTGCAACCAAAAACATCCTAGTTGACCTACCACTCTTTTCTAAGTAATCAGGAAATCTAATTTCCTCAACTTAACTGGCTTGAATTTTTTGGCAGATACCTGATTCTCCATCTGGTCCTTGGCCTCCACCTGTTTTGTGGAATTGAAACCTGGTTCTTCCAAGCTCCCCCAACCGCCTCATCCTGAACCTGCATGCCTTTACCCCACACTTCACCACAGGTCATCAGAGCCCGCAGATTTCGTCAGAAGGCTCTGGGGCCAGGCTTAGAGAAGAAAAGATCCTGGGTAGGTTTGAGGGACCCCTGGGTTCATGAGTGTCAACTCTGTTTCCCATGTATGTTTATTCTGCTCAAAGTCCTGGAAGAAAGTGTTGTTTAACCTGGATTTCTTTCATTAGGGGAAACTAGGGCACCATAAGAGACATCTTATTGTAACCACACAGGATGAGGGAGAGGCTGTTCACCTCCAGAGTATAGGCATTGTTCGGGAAAAAGAGGGCCAGCAAACCAAAAGCATATTCAACATTGTTTATATGATAAGGCTGTTGGGAAGTTTTGCCAGCTCTTAGTATGTCTATCCCAGTGAGAACTGACTGAGCTCTTAAAATGCAGGTGTCTAGTACTCAGAAACATTGGAGATGAGGCGGTTTCTGTAGAAACTGTGAATTCCAGATCTGACTACCCTAAGTGATAATGGAGCCAATCTTTATGTATTGTGCATTTCCTTCATTTTTCAAAATATGTATTTATTTTTGGCTGTACTGGGTCTTAGTTGCAGCATGTGGGATCTATTACTAGTTCCCTGGTCAGGGATTGCACCCGGGCTCCCTGAATTGGGAGTGCGGAGTCTCAGCCACTGGACCACCGAAGTCCTCTGCATGTTGTGCACTTCGGTAACCGGTGGCCATGACACGCAGTGCTGGCTGGCGTCCGCAGGGATTCTGGTGGGGCTCCTCTCTGTCCTCGCTCTCTCGTCTCGCGTCCACCTCGCTGTCCTGTCTGTGAGGCGTCCCCCCGGCCAGCATCACAGGACGCACAGTCTCCAGGCTGAGGCGCACTCCCGGCCCCGTCTCTGCAGCACCCTGTCCCCTGCGGGCTTCCAGGCTTGCGGTGCACTGCCCTCCACGAGGCAGGTCCCCCCGTTCTGAATGGTCAGCACGGCCTCTCTTGCTCTGTCCTTTGGTCTTCTCTCCGCACCGTGTGTGACCTAGTAAAGCCCTGGGCTAACCTCGTTCAGTCCAGGTTAACCTCTGAGACTTTGCACTTCATCACTGACTCATGCAGGAGGCAGGCACCCTGACTTGTCCGTCCCAAACTGAGGTAGGATGCAGTAAAGAAGAACACAGTCTTGGAGTCCAGCTCACCTGATTTATAGCCCAGTTCTGCCCTTGCCGTCATCATGCAAATGGGGGACTGAACCTCCGATAGCCTGATGCCTTGTATTTGGGGGCCCCCACCCTCTGGGATCTAATGCCAGATGATCTGAGGTGACTCTGATGTAACAATAACAGAAATAAAGTGCACAATACATGGGGCACACTTGAATTATCCTGAAACCATCCCCACCTCCGCCCCATCCATGGAAACACTGTCATCCACGAAACCCGGCTCTGGGGCCAAAAAGTCGGGACCACGGCTCTGTAGCTTCCCTACAGTTCCACACGGCTTTGCAGATTTGCTTCGTGTGTGAATATTTACTTTTGCCTTATTTGGTAATAAAGTGATTTCAGATAACTGATTTAGATAATATTTGTTTCCCTTCCCTTCGTATCATTGTGTCAGTATCAGAGTAAGGTGATCTACGCTACGATAACAAGCCCTGAGTCTCAGTGGCTCAGACACTGGAGCCTGTTTCCTGCGCACATGTGACTCGGGACGCCCTCCCCCAGGGGTGACTCGGGCCCAGGCTCCCTCCGCCACGTGACCCGTCTAGTGCCACACCCTTGGCGTCCCGCTCCACCGGAGGGGGAGAAGGACTGCTTCACAGAATGCTCTGCAGGTGGCCTTGGAAGAGGCATCTCTAACTTCCTCCCACATGGCTTTGGCCAGAACTGAGTCCCACCGTCCCTCCCAGATGCAAGGCCGGCTGGATAACAGACTTCCACTGTGCCCAGGAGGAGGACTCCGGTTTGGCGATCAAGCATCTAGTGAGTCCACCACACTCACACGTCCCTGCTGGTACGTGCGGAAGTGTGAGGTTACTCTCTTTTTACTACGGTGACTAGAATGATATTAAGCCAGACATATAGTCAGCTCTTTACCTGGATTATCTCATTTAATTTGATTTTCACAACAACCTCATGAGTGTTTTGAGGATTTAAGAGAAGTGCTGTGGAAATGGCCAACAGTTATTCATTTCGTGTGCTGGTGCATTTCACATTCCCCAGGACAGCTGTCCAAGTGAGGGCACTAGAACAGCACCTCGTAACGTCTTTACTGTCTATGCTTGGAAATGAAGCATTTTGTTATGGAGTTGTATGATAGGGACGGGAGATTTACCAAAAGGAGTCTGCTCAAATCTTCGGTGACAAGACACAACAGTATGGAGCGAACATGAAGCCGACAATTCAGGGCGTGAGAACAAGCCTCCCTGAGTCCTGTGGTTTAACTGGGGCTGATGCGCAGAGCCACGGACTTGGTTCTATTGTTTGTGGTCCAGCACGCATCCACAGCAGACGCAGCCTCTCCCCACGGCTTCTCCGGGGCGACTTCTGTGGCAAGGTTTTACCTCCATACTCGTGTTGACGCTTTCCCCCTCCCAGCCAGCATCCCAGAGATAGACTTCAGCACTCAGTAACTGCTGGAAGAGCCTGCTGGAGGCTGATAAGGAGAAATAACAGATTTTAAGTCAAAATGGGGAAGGAAAAGAGTGAGAAAGTCAGTTGGTGTCAAGGAAACAAAAGGCAAGGTGGATCAAAAGGAAACAGCCTTGTACTCCAGCTCACGGTCAGCGTAAATTCGTTAAAAAGGAAGCTTTCCTTGAACCTAGTCTGGACACTGCTGCTGCTAAGTCACTTCAGTCGTGGCCAACTCTGCAACCCCATAGACGGCAGCCCACCAGGCTCCCCCGTCCCTGGGATTCTCCAGGCAAGAACACTGGAGTGGGGTGCCATTGCCTTCTCCAGTGCACGAAAGTGAAAAGTGAAAGTGAAGTCGCTCAGTCGTGTCTGACTCTTAGTGACCCCATGGACTGCAGCCCACCAGGCTCCCCCCACATCCGTGGGATTCTGCAGGCAAGAACACTGGAGTGGGGTGCCATTGCCTTCTCCGAGTCTGGACACTAACCATGAAGAAACTCTTCACCACGAAAGGACACTGGATGAGAAGCTGTGCAAGCACTCTTTTCATCTTCTGCAGTAGAAGTCCCTCCAGGGTGGCAGGGGTCAGGGGTGGGGGAGACTCCCGCCGGCACATGAGA